GGATGGATGTCCAACTCCCCCACATCCAAGTCGGCCATTTTGATTAGGTCACCAATAGGAAGATCCCTGGCAAGAAAATCCTAATTTTTTCATGGCAATATAGACATTAATTTAAAAATAGTGAAATGAATCTTGCAAACACTGAATTAAACTCTTTACATAATATTATGTTAAAATAGTGGATGTTAAATAGGTTTGTACAATAAGTCCAAACAAGTTTAACCAGAAAATAGTTATTTCTCACAATTATGAAGGCTGGAGGGTGAGGGTTAGGGTCAGGGTTAGGTTTAGGGGGTTAGGGTTACGGTTACGGGTTAAGGTTAGGGTCAGGGTTAGGGTCATTAATGTGGGTCACCATAACATCAGTAACAGGTCAGTTTGAAACAAAAAACACTAAAGTTAAATTATGGGGTCTTTCTTTTTATCCTTGTGGTATTGAGTATGGAATATTTTCCTGAGTATCGGTATCCAGTTGAACATTTTAGTATCGTGACAACCCTACTGGCACAGAGAAAAGCATTTGTACGGCTATCATTTGTGGAAAAGCAGCTAAAATAATAGGCTGGTGAGGAAGGCCCTTCTGTCCCGGGCTGAACCTCCGGACTCAGTGGAGGAAGTGGCAGAAAGGAGAGTTTTGTCCAAACTCACATCTATAATGGACAACACCTCTCACCCTCTGGATCAGATTGTAGAGGAGCCGAGCAGCTAATTTCGCTAAAGACTCAGACACCCTGTGTGTGAAAAGGAGGTCATTCATTCATTCCTGCTGCTACCAGACTATACGACTATACAGTGAACCTGCATTCTGATTGGCTAAGCAGCTTCTTCTCTACCTGCTTGCTAAATTTAAGTTTGCCAATTCTCTCGCAATTTCAAGTTTCTCTAAAACCTGTAATGTTGACAGAACGTTCTGCACTGACAAAGGCACGAGCGGTCGGGCCAAAAGGGAGATGAAGAAGCTAACTATCAGAAAAAGTTACATTTCTGGACACGCTAAGGGAAGCTAGAAGCTATGCGGCTTTAGGTCGCCATTACGGGATGAATTAATCTTCCGTTTGTTTCATAAAGAAGGAAGAAAATAACAGGACTAGTTTTAATAAGGATTGGCTGGCACTTATCTCCACAATTTGAAGCCTTCAGTTTGTATTGATGATTAAAATTATAATTTTACAGTGAAGTAGTTATTCATAAAAAATAAAAATAAAACGTTAATACAGTACTTTTAATTGTAAAACAAATGCTTGGGCCTGTAAAAAGGTTTTGTTCTTTGGTTTAAATGTATTATGGAGCATTTCATAGTAAAAAAATAAAGGTTACTACTTCAGGGGATTTCGCCTATCACGGGTTCTTTTTGGAACGTAACCCCCACCAAAAACGAGGGTTCACTGTATACATATATACATAGATATATATACACATATACTACTATAACAACTACTGTGCAAGTATATTATATTTATTGACCTGTGCGATATGTATACTGTACATAAGCCATCCTGATTGTACATATGTCACCTCAAATCTCTGTTACTTCCTTGTATTTTTATTTATTTTTATTGTTTGTACTTCATGCACCTTTTCCTCCTTGTTTGCACCTTCTTTAATCACTAAACCGATGTGTGACCGGTGAATTTTTCCACTGTGAGATCAATAAAGCTTATCTTATCCTATTTTAAAATACGGTGCCGCACATCAACCAACAACTCCACTGTCCTGCGGGCCGATCGATGCCCCGATGTTCCATCACAAATCAGACGAAATAGCTCCACATTTTCCATGATATCAGCGTTTAACTCGGCCATGTTTACACGTTTACGATTGGAGTTTTATCTGAAGTGAGTTTTGGAGGATAAAGTGAATCAAAATGTAGAAATAGGCTATCTGGCTGGGACAAAACGACAGAGCTCTGACTTTAAAAGGAAACTTTAAATAGTGATACAGTTGGCTATTTTTCCCCCAATTCTACGCTAGACAGTGCAGTAGGCCGACAGCAGTGGGCAACAGAGGGAGGGTGCAGCTGTAATAACACTTAGACTTAATCCACGCTCTTGTGTTTGTAGGCCAGCAGGCACTTTGAGGACAAGCCAAGCCGACTGGACCAAAGAAAGAGGCTGAGCTGGACTTTGATGCTTGGAGTTGATCGTGGGAAATACACAGTTTACTAACAAATCTCATAAAAGCTGGAAAATTCATAATAACTCAGCAATTAGGCTCAACCGGAAATGATATTATTTTGAACACAGTTGAACATCACTATGTAGATTAACTCTTTATTTTGTTGCCAACAGATGAAGGAAGAAGGACACGTTAAAAACTCTTTACAACTCAACTCAAATCCATCCATCATAACTATTCTACGCCCATTTAGTCACACAGATTCAGACTACTTTGAACCTTATCTATAGCCTGACAAATCCCCGGTTGCATATCTACCAGTGATCGACATATACGTGTCTAATAATTATTTCTACATCTCAATAATGGTGCAAATACCGACAGAAAAAGGACTGACCACTGGTCTGAATGAGCCTCAGCTGTTTAACTTCAGCTCGGCCTCAATCCGGCCTATTTCCTGCCAGCTGATAAAAAACAATTAACCAGACATTTCTCGAAATTTACCCCTCCAAACCGAAGGTGTTTACGTCTCCCCTTTGACACCTCAATGCCCCCTCCGTGTAGATTAGATAAAGGATACCGTCTTATAATATTTGAGGGCAATTAAGCTAGCGCCAGTAGTATTCTCATCTGGTCCTCAACCAGCTAACCGTTAGCACACAACTGGTTAAGTATGTGTCAATTCACCCGCTTAATTAAGAGTGTAAAAGAGTGAGACAGTTTAAAATAAGTTCATCTTTTTTACGTTTGCTTACTAGGTACAGAATTACGGTTATTTACAGGTAAATATGCTAGCTTAATTGCTTTGCTAGCTAACTAGAGTCCTCCCAATTTGCTATCAGGCTAAATGGCTCAGCCAACCCTAGCGGATGCCGTTTCTGAAAAGCCATCTAACTGGACTGTAAAAACCCAGACGCCGTATTTGATATCGTACAGACAATCCCGACACTTTTAAACTCCCCAATGGACAAAAACACTCCCCAAATACACAAAAAAAGACATCATTTTCCGTACCGTATTCTCTATTGAGTCTCGACACCGGGCGTTGGCAGCTCCGCGCTAGGGGCTTCCCAGTCACTTCAACAGGGGCACGTTAGCGTGCCCAGTCCTACGTCATCACGTCGATCGATTTCCCCGTAGGCAGTTTGTTCAATGACTGAGTTGGTATGTAGTTTCGGTTAAGACCTTTTAAAAACCATTTCCTGACGTGTAACATTGTTGGATAGACGTCATATTATACTATTTACTGAAGAATTGCATTGTATAGCTTTTATATATCCTTTCAAAATAACCTTTACACCAGAAAATGGACAAAGTGAGCAAATTTGTCACCACCCTGTTGCAACTGAAAAACTAACAGCTTTAATATCCTTTTCGCAAAATCCCTTTTGCCCCGTTTTACTATATTTGGAGCAGTGGATTTGACCTATATATGCGTGTACTCTGCGTTTATGCAGTCTGCAACTAGAGGGCAGTGCAGACCAGTGACCCACATCCACAAACAACTGGATCAGACATTTAGAGGAATAAATTCACACCTATATGGAAAAAAAACAAACTTTATTCTCAAAGTGGACCATGTGTCAAAGAGAAAAAAATATCCGTGTCACACCAAAACAAACATACTCAACGATAAAAACGAAGAAAAAAAGACTGCAGAGATCTTCACTGTTACTAGGTGGTCACACTCTGCAGTAGGGTGATGTTGTCTCCTTTCAACATGATCCTCCCTGGAAGAAATTAAAAGAAATAAAGAGTTGAAGTGAACATCAAAATGGAGGCTACTCAGCATCCAGATGAATTATGTAAAGATACAAATGTTTGAGGAACCACCGACTCTCCTCATGATAAATATGAGCACATATTCTTAAAATCAAACCAAACGCAAAGCCAGAAGAAGAAAAAAATAAATAGAGCCATCATCATTATCATTTATATATAATTCAGTGCAAATTCTAATTCAAATTCAGTCCTGAAATATAGGAACTCTCCACCAGAGTTTAAAAGAAAAACCTCATACATGTTTATGTCACTGTTAAATTAATCTGGAGTTGAAATTTAAGAATGGAAATATTCAAATCAGAACCACCTTTTTGATTCAAGTCCAGATAAAAGAATCTGCTTTTCAGAGCAAATAATTACAAGTAAAATGCAGCTTGCCAACATCAACCATCTGAAGTGGCACCATTTCCACTAAGAGATTCCTTTGGCTTTCGGATGGTTGGAACCATGTTTATTTATTACTCTGGTATCCTCTCCTTCCAGACTTGGATAGAAGAACTCATCACAAACCTGATCCTCGGAAAATTGGTACTGTTCCCATTTGGCCATTTAAATACCAAACCAAGGAAACTTAGTTCTATCAGAGTGTGCCTGCTAACAGCAAACTATTACAGAATTTACTTCTGTCATTTGTAAGAGAGGGGAGGAGGAACCAGATTCAAATTTATTTCTTATTAGGATCCCCATTAGCTGTGCTTTACACCCAGCTACTCTTCAATAAAAATAGAATATACAATGTAAATTAATGAACATGTTTGACAGATGACAAATATCATATACATATCAATAAGACTGAGCATTTATAGAAAAGGGGAAAGTTACTATTTAACATGGTAACATTTTATGAATAAGTTACAATAAATTAGAATATGAAACTATTTCATTTATAGATAAGTTCCTCCTAAAAACTTCTTAAGTTGCATTTTAAAAGCAGAGTTATGTACAATTTTTATGAGAATTAATGGAAATGAGTTCCATTCTTTCATTGCTCTGTTAGTAAAGGTGCATTTGAGAAAATTAGTTTTCGCCCTAAGAATTACAAATCGGGGTTAAAGTCTGCAGTCTTTTGTGATCCCACTGGTCTAATGTTGTCCTAGAGTTAATTATACAGGAAAAACTAAAAACATGGCATAATACAATGTTAACTCACCCAGAGGCTTTCTGTTCTTGGTCTTCATGTGGACTTCCTCAGCATCATCCAGCACCAGGTTCATGTACTCATCAAAACCCTGAAACAGTAATAAGTTTCATTTTGGCATCTCTCCCAAAAATCTGATTTTCTGAGGCGTTTTTTTTTGCTGTATAGATCCTTTTAACTCGGTATCCCAAAATCATAATGCAATTCTATATGCTTATAAGAGTCAAGTCTTTCCCTTTGTAACCACTGGGTTTTCCCCTTCTGGAATCAAAACTAAAGCATGGGCAGCTTACAGTAGTCCTATGGACCTAAACACCCCTCTTTCAGGGCTACCCGTCTCACAATGGCCTCCCTGATTAATCCTCTTCTTATACTTACTGTACCCTGAGAGACTGTCAAAGTTTATTGTTTCTAGCACATTATATAATATGACCCAACCTTGACTCGTACTTCCCTACCACCTGTTTGGAGAGTTACATGCTTTTCTTGCTTTATAATGCCTTTTAATTAGTGGGGTTGCTAATTCTTTTTCAGAATATAACTGCATAACTGAACTGAGATCAGGGGACACAAAATGTTTGCACTCAGTTGTGCTTTGATAAACTTTTAAGTGGATTCTGAAGGTTATTGGTGTTAACTAATCTTATTTAGAGACTTGACAGCAAATATGAACACACCAATGTTCAGCATATATGTAAAAATACTCCCCATCCTATCATGTACAACTTAAATGTTGACACATTACATAAATATTAGGGATGTCCCGATCCAGCTTCCAATCCGATCCCGGCCTATCAGAGAATGTATTAAAGTCTAAAGTTATTTATCTACTTAATTAGTTTTCAGACTCATGTTGAACAGGGATTTACTCTGATAACAACTTAATGGTTAGGACACAGACCTGTGGGTCAGGAGATGCTAATGCTAATGCTCGTGTGGGTTTGGATTTAAAAAATAAACTGGATCTGGATTTTCTCCTGTCGGCCGATACGCGCTTTTTTAAAATATCCAGATATCAGATCGGGACAAGCCTAATAAATATTAAGAAAAAATTCATACAATCTGTTTAATGAACAGTCGTCAGGTTGCACCTCACGTTGCAACCATGCATAAATGAGTTATTCACACTACACTTGTGGAAAGTTAAATAAAAGCAACAAAAACTTTTCTTTAAACTCACAATAATGCAGCCCTCTATCCGCATGTTGACCTGCTCGTACAGCCACACCTGGATTCTGGAGCGCTGGGAACCAAAAGCAGAACCAATTAGAATCATACTGTACTGTACTATTATAGAAAATTTGAGTCTTAGCAAAAGTGTGAAATACTTACATTTTGAAGGTACCTAAAAATTAGGTTCTGGGACATAGAGTCAAGGAAATCAAAGTGTACATGTTTGCATTATTTCCCCCTTTAAATGGACCATTAGAGGTATAATTACTGTGCAATTGAGTAAAATACATCAGCTGCACCCCCTTTATGATCAAGCAACATAAATGCAAAAATATAAGCATCAAAGACATATTGGATTATTTCACTTAATCCTTCTGAATTCTAATGCAAGAAGCCTCCAGAAGAATAACAGAAAAAATGCATAATACTAAGATTTACAACACTATACAGCTCATTAAAAGCAGTTAAGCCGATAATGTTATAAATATAAATGGAAAATACACGCATTTAGATTTCACCTCA